CACACATATTGCAATCGTCAAAGAAGAAAAGGTTTTCCTCAAAGAACAACTCATGAAATAAAGAATGGTGAATTCTGTGATTTTTCATTCAATAACAAAAAAACAGCAAAGGTTGAATAAAATATGATGCCAAAGAACAGCTCATGAAATGAAAAATGGTGAATTCTGTGGTTTCCTGCCATAATTATCGATACAACGATTCTGTTTTTTTTTTGTCATCAGAATGAAAACTAGTGGAACCGTCTGCTGATGTGAGGGAGCGATACTTCCATGAACAGTGACGAGTTGTCAAAACAAACAAGGAACTGTGGCACCATCTGTAACCCAATACTTTGCCTGTCCAAGACGTCGCAAGTTATCATGAGCTCCAAAAATTAAGGCTATTTCATTATTGTCACCGAGGTCAGCAATCAATAGACAGTCCCCATTATCATCCTCCTGGAATTCATCGGGTGGATTATGCCTAACGTCCATTATGCCCAACGTGCATTATGCCTATCGTGCATTATGCCTAACGTCCGTATGCCTAACGACCGTATGCCTAACGTCGTGTACCCACTAAAAAAAAATAACGACAAGTGCTTCTACAAGCACTTTCAAGTTTATTAACTTTTAAGGACGATATTTACTTAAATAATACCATTTGCATCGTTAAAAACGCAAGCCGTGAAAAATGTTGTAAGCTGAAACAGTTTTGTTTACCTTTTTTCTACGCACCGCATTACGAAGGTTTGTGTTCATCTATCATCGTATCCCGTGTTTTCAATTTAATTGAAACAAATTGTGTAAAATAATGTCGGTTCGGATGTTTACTGGCTTGGTACGGCTTGTATCCTTCCTTGGCAAGGATGTTCTGCACCGTTTGAAAGTTGGCGTTGTACCTTCTGGTCACATCTAAGATCGAAAGACCGGGGGTTGGCTTTAACGCACCTCAACACCTTGCTGCGCAGCTGACGATACCTGGTTACAGTTTTTTTGTAGGTCCACTGATTTCTTTCCACACTCAGGGTTTCCTTATAGGTTTTGATCACTCGACAAAATGTTGTTGTGGGCATCTTCAGCACTTTAGCCAACTTGACCGAACCACTCCGGATTTTCCAGCAATTTGTGCAAAATATTTCTTCTTCTTTCGAGTTCCATTAGACGTTATTTCTGAACCCGATCGACTACTTTGATCAAACTTGCACTAGTTATTCTCTATAGGGTAGAGCGCTACTTCGTCGTAATCGCCCATTTCCGTTCTATCGATCAGAAAAGATCAATAATATCAATGATTTCACCGTGCACAAATCAATAATAGGATTGTTCCAATGCGTTAGTTCATTAGCTACAACATAAACCCTGTTAGAGCGCATTGTATGAATATTTACACTCATTGTTCTCAAAACAAAAGAAGCGCTCCTAGCGAATCCCCTTTTTCTACGTTTATCCTTAGGACGAAGCAAATCTAATGGCGTTTCAATACGTTAGGACGGAATTTAAACTCGTAGAACGAATTTAGAATCAAGAAGCAGTGTTAGATTTTAGACAATATCTCAACAATTTGTGACTCTTTATCAAATCCAACGGTACTTATGGAAAGGTGAATAAATTTGCAAGTCATCTTTGACAGAAATATTCCATTTTTTGTTTAAACTCGTTCAGAAAAGAGAGGTAAAGCGCGGGTTGTGCTTAGTAGGACGGAAATTAGATCAAAACCGCTAGAGCTTTTCGACGTTTAATCGGCGCACACTACTGCACCATTTAAATCGAACGGGTGCGAGGAAGAGGGAAACAGATTAGTGGGAAAACAAACCATCCATTCATCCATGTGTGTTAGATAGAGAATGACGATTAAACTGTCAAATTTTCAATTCTCAACACTATAGGCATGCTAGCGGCGCGAGAGAGGCGTATCAATTTACTATTAATCATCCTTTTTGTCTGTTTGTTTGTGCTTTTTGTTTTTTTTTTTTACAGAACATTATTTGAAATGTTTTAAACATTATTTTCTGAGTATGAATTACATGAGAAAAACCTTCAAAAATGTTACCAAATGTTCTTATTTTACGATCTTTGTCGATTTTCAAGTATCCATAATTTTAAACATTCTTAATGTTTGCATTTTTCACGAGCTTTTTTTTCGTAAAATAAAATCATAAATCAAACATTCAATTTTGCCAAAAATTAAATTTTTAGCATTTTTTAAATTTTTACTTGAAATTTCTAAAAATCTTTTTTTGTATATCTTTACCATAGACCATTGTTTATCTCTACAACGTTGTCTCAGACTTCATTTCGATCAGAAGTGCTGTTCCGGTTTTTTGAAGAAAAAAAAATCAAAAGCGTCTTTTTGAAAATTGTGCCTGGTCCAAAATGGCCGAATATTAGCAAAAATGTGAATAATTGTCCGTAACAAACAAGTATAAGTATGCAAAGTTTCATGAAAATTTTCTGATTCGTCATTTGGTTTGGAGCTGCTTAATGAAGTAATCTTTCAAATTTCACATCTACACTAGCACCGCATAGTGGCAGAATTTTGAACTAACATACCTACTAATTGATTAATATTGACTTTCTGAACAACTTTTCCGAAGGCAGCAACTCCCTCCCCATGGACATGGAGGTCGACGGTACTGAAGCAAAGGGTTGTGTTTAATTTCTTTATATTTGCAATGATGTTGATTTCCTATAGTGACCTCCTATCACCTTCTTAATGCTTCAGTATGCCTCAAACGCTTAATTCTTGGTTGTTAAGAGAAATTCCTTGATGAAATCGGCTGCTTCATGCAGACTGAGCAATTCTAATTATAGTATCAGATTTGTTCTGTATACAGAGGAACTGGAAGGGCTTATTAGAAACTTCTCACCAATAAAGTAATGATCTTCTAGTAATTTTTTTTAATATTTTATTCTATTTAAGCATATTATTTTTGTTACAGTGAATTAGCATTAGCAGCATACGAGTGATTTTCGGAGTTTTGAATTCGTTAGATGTTGTAAGGATGCGGGAGGAGATTAGAGGGCGGGTGTTTGACGCATAGATCCGGTCAATTTCGCTTTCAGAGTGTCGCAGTCAGCGGTTTTATGATTCGTGAGCGCTCGCGATTCGTAGAATCATTGATTGTGACTGCAAGTGGATTTGGCGGGTTTTGTGTGTCAGGCGCTTGCTTTTTGGCCTCTTCTTGTGTCTAACATGTGCAGAGTATCATTATAGCGTCTAATGGTTTTGAGATTCCTGGTTGCGTGAAATATAATAAATTTGTGAGAATATCATTTTGAGATTTAAGTAATCACGTTTTGTTTGTAGTTTATATTTTATTTCTTTCATGTAATTGTCGTAAATAATAGTTATTCAATAATAGATAGTTCATCCATATATTCGTTCTTTGACGCGAAGCGCTGTGGATTATGAGATGCTCGATGACCCTGGAGGGATCGTTTTTGCTTATTGAGCAGAAAATCATGGGTTTAATCCCAAGCTCTCCGTCATGACTCTTTAAATTCATAATCACTAAACAAAATGAATATGTTCTTTCGATAACCGGCTATCGAGAGATTAAATAAACAACAAATAAACAATACATACTTTTGGTTGAAACGCCAACTTGAGGTGAATCCTAACCGAATACCCTACCCAACCCTCCAACTCCGTAGCACCTATGAGGGTGTCGCTAAGTCGGTGGCCTCTCGTTAAGTAAGTACTACATCAACATTCCCTATCCCTAGTTATGGTAAAGATGGGCGTGGCCGGGAATAGCGACAGTCATGCTTCTGTAACTCTTGTTTAGATTGGAACAAATGTTTACTCCACGGCATTATTCCTGAAAGTAGTCTAAATGAAATTTCGTGAGTGTCGCTAGTATCCAATCTACGAAGTATATCATAACAACGCTAACGCTAACGCTAACTTTTCCAAAGACAGCAACATTCCCAGCTAGTCATGATCTCAAGATATACTCTTTAGATGTTCAAGTATCACTAACAACAACATTGAAAACCTCTAATGAAAATTTCATCAAGATTTTAGATTCAAATATTTTTTTACATAAACGTATCAAAACGTCAAACTGGTGGGTCATGACCATCATCTTGAGAAATGCGGATTTAGAAGAATATAAACCTTGAATCCGTTGTTGTTTCGAGTGCCGTTAGACGGCTTTTTATTTTTTGTGGAATTATATTTTCTAAATAATTAATGCAAAGTTTTTTTTTAAATCAATTTACACATAAATGTATTTTTAGTACCGTCATAGATTAACCTATAAATATCCTTTCATAAATAAGCGAAAACATTTTATTTTATATTTCTTTAACGAATTAACATCTCACTGACAAACGGTGCCTATCGATAGCTTACAGGCAGTGCAGGTCAGTACGTCATCCGCGGCCAGAGGTGATAGATTTTACTCTCTGAATTGTCCATCAACAATTGTCGATTGAAATTTGAAATGCCGATTAAGCCAAAATGTAATTAGAAAGCTCTAAATACACAACAGTTGAGTCAGTTAAGAGAAGATGTATAGTTCCAGATGGTGCATAATATAGGCCTAAAATATGTGGACTGATGATTCCTATGCAAATAGTTTCGATTGTAGACACAAAGATACTTATCACCGTCACCGTTGGTTTTAGTATATTGGAAAAAATAATTTGCTTATACATGTGAAACAACAATCGAAGATGATTCAATTTGTTATATATGTAAAACAGATACTGTGGAATTCCGCATAGTTCCTGTTCAGTACAGTATAGTTTGCATTTCTGGTTTATGAATTTTAGACTTCATAAATTTCTTTACTTAGCACAACTGCACAAACAGTGTCATTATGAATTGCCATTAGAAACATACAAGAAAACTTCATAATGACACCGGGAAATACAGAGAGTCTTTTGATAGCACCGCCTCCGTGTCCCAGCTTGTACAGAAGATAAGCGATTGGCCGTTGAGTTCAAGTTCATTATCAATAAGCGTGATTTCATCATTTCATTTCATCGACATGTTGCACTTTCTTTCAGAGGGTCTCAAGTTCAACCACCGTACCATGGTACTCTTCCCCGTCAGCATCTCGCTGACAGCGGTCCTTCTGTTGCACAGTATCCCTGCTTCGAAAAGTGAACCCAACAATGGCCAACGACCACCACACATCGTCATCATCATGGCCGACGACATGGGCTGGAACGACGTGGGCTTTCACGGCTCGAATCAAATTCCAACGCCCAACATCGACGCTCTCGCCTACGATGGCATCATACTCAATCGACACTACACGGCACCGATGTGTACCCCCTCGAGGGCATCCTTGATGACCGGGAAGAACCCGATCAGTATCGGGATGCAGCATTACGTCACAGTTTCCGACGAACCGTGGGGCCTGGGACTGGATCAGAAGATCATGCCGGAGTACTTTAAGGAAGCCGGCTATCGGACGCATTTGGTGGGAAAGTGGCATCTGGGATTCTCGGCCAAACAGTACACGCCCACTATGAGGGGGTTCGATACCCACGTGGGTTATTTTGGACCCTATGTCGATTACTGGGACTACACGTTGAAGATGGGACCGCCCAAGGACTACGTGGGTTACGATTTGCGTAATAATTTGGAGGTGAATCGGAACTCGAATGGAACTTACGCGACGGATTTTTTCACACAAATGGCTTCGTCGATCATTGAGAACCATGATGTAAAGGATCCGTTGTTTCTCATGATGAGTCATTTGGCACCGCACGCGGCGAACGACAATGAACCACTACAGGCACCGGAGGAAACCATCAGGAAGTTTGACTATATTTCCGATGAGAACAGAAGGATCTACGCTGGTGAGTTTTTGAGTTTTATCAATTTAAATAGACTGTATGAAATTAATTGCATTCTTTTTAGCCATGGTGTCAAAGTTGGACGACAGCGTTGGACAAATTTTCAACAGTTTGCGATCCAAAAACATGTTGGATAACTCGATCATCTTGTTCATGTCGGATAATGGAGCACCAAGCGTAGGCCTACATGCGAATAGTGGATCAAACTATCCGCTGAGAGGAGTAAGTTAATCATAGATCTTATTTCTGAATCATGTACCAACCTCCGCTACTCAACAGATCAAAAACGTTCCATGGGAAGCGGCTACGCGCAACATAGCTGCCATCTGGAGTCCCCTACTTCAGGAACGGCAACGTGTCTCGAATCAGTTTATTCACATATCCGATTGGCTGCCGACGCTGGCATCGGCCGCAGGAATCGATATCCCCTTCTCCAAGGATCACTCGGAAATCGACGGCCTGGATCAGTGGGAAGCCCTATCATACGATACCGGCAATCCCCGCCGGGTAGTCTTGAACATGATCGACGAAATCTACGGATACAGCAGCTACATGGAGAATGGGTTCAAAATTGTCAATGGAACTTTCTCCAATGGTGAATACGATGGATGGTACGGACAGCTGAATGCCAGCGATCAAACTCCCAGCGACGATGATAACATCAATTTGGTACTGCAAACCGAAATCATCCGATGGGCAGAGGAGGAGTCCATATCCAAGGATACTATCAAATACCTCCGAAAGCACGCCCGGGTCAACTGCACTCGTGCACCGGATGCAAAGAAGTGCAATCCGCTCATCCGACCTTGTCTGTTTGACATCATCAACGACCCTTGCGAGTTGAATGATCTCTCGCAAAAATTTGTCCACAAATGTCGGGAGCTCCGTTCGACGGTACAAGCCTACCGCCGGTTAGCAGTAAAGCCCCGGAATAAACCTGCCGATCCTACAGCAAACCCGGCCAACCACGGTGGCATCTGGACCTGGTGGATGCCGGACCTCTCCAAGGAACAACTCGCGCAGCAAGCTGTCGATGAGGCTGAACATCGCCAGGCATACCTTCCGATTCCTCCACCGCACTCGAGTCTACCGGAGGACATTCGATTGCCCGTAATTATAACCATTACCGTAGTTGGGGTCCTATTTGTTTCCGGGGCCCTTCTCTATATGTCCAATAAAGATGTAATGCGACTCTGTTCAAGGTCCACGGGTACGACGGTGAACTCAACGGTACAGGTTACCAATTTGACTCAATCGGAGAGTGCCAGCAGCGACGATAAGCTATCGGAAGTGTTTGCAAACTCCCCGCTGCAGTCGCCCTCAATCCGACCCGATCCTAAGGTATACCATATCAGTAATAGTAGGTTGGATAGGTATTGAATTGTTCGGTTGCACCGTTCGGTACTAACCTTATTACTACGAGGCAAGGTTTCAGTAGTAGAAGTTGGAAAATTTACAGGTTGGGACGGTAGTTTAGTCTAAAAGATTCCACATGGTTTAAGGCAGTGGAAGCACAACTAACTTGTGGGCAATATTTGTACATAATTCTTACGGTTTCACTCAGCTGTAGCTAGATTTGTAAGGTGCTTTATTTATCATCGACCAATTTCATTCTTTGCAGGACCAAACGAATAGTTTCAGAAGGAAAAGATCTCGCTGTGAATATACAAGTGTACTTAAAAGAGGAACATTTTTTGCATTGAAAACATACCTGTCTGTAGTTTTGTTGCTGGAAAGAACTGTCCCTACTATTAACTAAAGAATTTACTACTTCAGATTATTTTCATCCATGTTTAAGGTGTTTTTGTGTAAAACATCCTTTCTGCAAGGATCTTCTCAGTGTTGAAGTTATGGCTGAGAACGAGAATCCTATCACCAAGGTGTCTACTACCTGAAAAACCTGTAATCTTCCGGGAATTTGATTTTACCTGTAATTCTCCGAGTATTTTTAAATTCAAGCAATTTAAAACAAAACAATATACTGAAGTACGCCAGAGAGAGGAATTTTAAAATATTTCATAATACAACTTAATTTCCTTTGTTAGTTACTTGCTAGTTACTCATATTCTGGGGTGGATTTATTTTCAGTAACAACATAAATGATTAGACTTGAATTCTGTTTTTACGGTTCTGGAACATGGATAACTTGTACAGAATTTTAACTAAGACTATTTTTTTAAATCTTGGACCTAATGAAATCAAATTTAGAGAACTTTTTAGAATCTGGGACGAAAATAAATATTCAAGACATAGAATAAATTTCAAGAATCCAGATTTCAAATAAATTAAGGGCCTTGTAAAAGATTCAAAGCTCATTAACTTAAAGGAATAAAATTGATGAAAATTTTCAAGGACCTTTAAGAACAATTTCAAGGGAATTCAGAGCAAAATATCAAAGGTTGATTTTTTTGAAAAGTGCTATCTGTGGATTCCTTTTAAATAAGTTCTGACGAACTCCAGACTCCAGGTGAAACGTAAGGAGAATTCCAAGGTAGTTCTGAGTAGAATTACAAGAATCCTCAGTAAGATTCAATGTAAATTTATAAGAGAATTCTGTGGACAATTCCAAGGCAATTTCAAAGAGAATTCCAAAATAGTTCTGACTAAAACTACAAAGTAATTTTGATTAGACCCGTGAGCTCGCAATAAGAGATATCTTTAATAGTAAATAGCTTCTGACGATTTTTATCGCTTGTAGATTGTAATCAGATGTTTCCCAATCATAAGTCATATAAATTTGTGTTCCTTTTAACAATGTTCCATTTTACTTTGGTCCATTCCATGAGTTAAATGACGTTTAAGCCATTTTCAGTTTGCACGGCGTGTAGATTAGCTGGGTTCAAATTAAAAAGTGTACAGATTAAAAACGGGCAGATTACCGGTTGTCCACGGTATGCATTTACCTCAATACCCATAAAAAATCCACCAGTGAAAAAAAATCCAATAAATGATTTTCATAATCATTGTAACCATGATATCTACTGTCAAAACATGGGCTATTATCATCAAATCACAACGAAATTCATGGTTCACAACAATAAAATGATTTTACTCGAACAAATTTGATCTCTTCACATTAATTTTCATTGTTTAAGCATTCAAGGATCCTAATTTTTCATTTAAATCAAAAATATAAATGTTCATTTTATGTGAATACTTCAAAGTAAATTAAAAACATACTTTAAACGAAAATATTAATGTTTGAATTAAATTCAAAAGCATGTTTATTTCAACAACATAAAATTTTCAAGGTGTATTCAACTCTGCACACCCTAATCTGTGTCGCTAGATTTAACTGTGCCGAACGTGCCGAAGTAGGCCGAATTGTACCAATCAAGGTGCCAGTATCTTATGAGTTTGGTAACCCTGAAGCATTGGCGTAGCTAGTGGGGGTGCCAAGGGGGTCAGGCCCCCTCCAGAATTATCTAGGCGCCCCCCCCCCCAGCCCCCCCAGAAATGTTGGTGTCCTTTATGTAGACTACTTTTCATATGTTCTGGGCTAGAAGCAGAAATTTGAGGAGCTTCGTAGAAGTTAAAGGAATCTTATTTTATTTCAGGTAGGCTCATATAATTTTAGGGTACATTGTTAAAACTGGATGGACTGATGGACTTGGAATAGTTGTGAAAATTACGTACAAATTTATAAAATTACGTTCTTGGAACTTCGTTATAGAAGTGCAGCAAATTTTGTAGAAGTTTTGCGAATTTCGTAGCAATTTGAGGAGCTGCGTTAAACTTCATATAAGAGTAAGGAATTTTGAATAAGTTCAGGGAATTTTGTAGAAGATCTAAAAATGGGTGAATAAACTTCTAAGAACTTCAGGGATCCTCATTTAGGGAACTCTGGTGCAGTTTGTCAACGATCTTACTTCAAAAAAGCTCTGAGTTTTTCGGAGGTTTTGGGAACTTCGTTAAATTTCAAGGAACTTTCTTACAAGTGTCTTTCCAGAAGTACAAAGATGTTCAGAGATCTTGATAGCCTTGTATGGAAATATGGAATTTGGAATAAATTCAGGGAACTTCACAGAAGATGCGGAAATTTTGAAAAACTTAAGGGAGTTTGGTAGATGTTCAGGAATCGTAGCATAAGTTACAAAATATTCTTTCAGCACAGCACAACAAGAAATATTCAAAAGATCTCCATATAGACGTGGATATTAGTAAAGTTCTCTGGATATTTTTCCAAGACTTCAGGTTGATTCAGGATGATCCAACTGTTTAAAAATAAATGTTTTTGGAAGACTATAAGTTGTTCAGGAAATATTCAAAAGATTCAATTAGCTGAATCCGATGGAATTTTGAATGATGAATCTAGATTTAATGGATATGTTTGTACATTCTCTATAGGGAAGACCCGTGCCTTGGTGATTTAGTTACATTGTCAAGAATTAGCACTCCAGCAGCCGGAATTCACCATAACAAAGAGATGGAAATTTCTACATATTTTTAAAATGTATAAATTTCTTTCTTTTCGACCAAATTTATGCCCCGAATTCAGCTGCAGGATGATTTGAATGCCTAAGCACATACAAAGTCCTTGCTTTGTGTGTGTATTTTTTATTTAATAAATCAAGAACAATGGAAAAGCTCCTGTTAATAAAAAGTTTCTAAGGCTTAAATGTTTGAAATTTATTCAGTGTGCACTTTCCCATGTTTCAAATTCAAACTCCTAGAATTTAATTTTGCTTCCTATGTTGGAGATTTAACTGATGATGAAATATTCAAAACCAAAAAAAGCTGGTAACAAAATTCATAGAATTACCTAACTCTGAGCATTTTCTTAAGTTTCAGATACTTAAATTTATGAAATACGGACGCTTTTTTTTATTTCACTACAAAAAGCATAAACAAACGATCATTGCTTGTTCAAAATCAGTAAGCTTTTGAGACTCTCCCAATCGAGGTCCCAATCCTTGCTATGAAATAAACATAATCAAATGTATTGTTTCACCATTAATATAAAAGTAAGCCTCAATGTCACATTATTGGTCACAGAAAAATTTACCCAAAAACAAGCTGCCTTGACGCAATTTGATTGAATAGCATCTTCGCAAGTTTTTATTTAACCGTAGTTTAGCAAAAAAATAAATAAATGAAAAGCCTCGTCCAGATAAATTATCTAGCTACGCCAATGCCCTGAAGTTATGACTTTTGTGATTGCGTTTACATTTCCAATTTCGTTGATGGTTTTGGCAAATATTTACTTCGCTACAAAAACAAACACCAGAATTCACATGGACGAGTGTTCAATCCCATCATGAAACAACATCCTTGAACCAGGTCATCTGATCGACTCAGAAGTACGTGATCTCGTAGACATGACCCAAGCCTATCGTGTCACTGATTATGATGTCTTCCGCAATGTACCACCGATGAAAACCATAAAATATAGGGGGATATTTCCGAAGTATAACTGATCTGGAGAGTACTGAGTTGTACCAGCAATCAATACGAAACTAACGATTTCAAATTGGCTCACTATTTGACTAGCCTATTGGTCCCAAGCAAATCGATCAACGTCCCCATTCTAGTATAAATTCCAATACTACACTATGTTTGTTTTGATTTGCTATGTAAGTTTGACAGATAAAATGAGGGGTTCGTGGATTTTCCTATGTTTCGAGGGGTGCATCGATTAGCTTGGGACCGAAGATAGTACCAGAGCTGAGTCAAAAAGTTGAGCACGTTTCTTCGGGACCTTCTAGTCTTGTCTAGTTCGGGACCTTCTAGTCTCTATGGTTCTACCAACAATCAATACGAAACTAACGATTTTAAATTGGCTCACCACTTTAGTAGATTATTGGTCCCAAGCAAACGATTAACGTACCCTATTCTAGTTGAAATTCTATTACTACACTATGTTTGTTTTGATTCGCTATGAAAGTTTGACAGATAACATCAGGGGTGTGTGGATTCATGCAGAACATGCAGGGGTGAGTGAAATAGCTTGGGACTGCTTGGGACCGTTGTTCTGGTACTGAATGAGCCAAAAATAATAATGATTTTCTTCGGGACCCACTGGTCTTAGAGTTACCTCTATGGTTCTACTGCAGGCAGGACTCTGTGGTTGTTGTTGCTCATCTGCCCACCCATGGGCTGTTACCGAGCAGCAAGTTGCTTAGTGTCGTCATGCGAAACCGTTGACCCCAACCCCTCTGCCGCGAATCAAATTATAGAGATCGAGCAAGGCCTTACTACTGACATTAGCAGAACTAATCGGTAGGCCACTTATCGCATGAGGGTCTCTTGAGACAAACTAGTTAAACAGAAAGATGATGACAGAGATGCATCTGCAAAATGAACGGATCGTTAATGATGGGTATGTGCTTGACGGCGGACTCAAGAAATGGAATGTATTTCTCGATGTAATTGCATTGATCTGTTCCTAGTAATCCTATACTATTCCGCTAAGGCAACTGTATATAGGTACAGATCTGATGGAATATTTGAGGTTATCGACATTCCCTAGCAGTACAGGGCCTTCTATGGACATCCTTATACAATCATGTGGATTGCCCATCGATCGTTCGCAATTCAAACCAATGACTGGCAAGAATATCTGAGGAAAAAGCCGGGGAAACGAGAAAATTCTCATCCCGGAAGACCCTTGGCTAGATTGGGATTTGATATGATATGTGATATGGAGCTACCACTCACTGTAGCGAAGCAACTGTTGGTAGACTGTGGAATATCCTCGCTTTTTGACTTGATCAAGTCTCTAATTCTACTCAACCTGCCATTGTATGAAGGGCCAAAAATGGGTTGGGTGAACCCGTGCACAGCAAAAAAATAATTTTGATATCACGTCAAAGTGGATGCACTACAATCAACAATCAATACGAAACTAACGATTTTAAATTGGCTCACTACTTGACTAGCCTATTGGTCCCAAGCAAACGATTAACGTACCCCATTCTAGTCAAAATTCTAGTACTACATAATGTTTGTTTTGAATTGCTATGGAGGTTTGACAGATAAAATGAGGGGTTAGTGGATTTTCCTATGTTTCGAGGGGTGAATCGATTAGCTTGGGACCGAAGATAATACCAGAGGTGAGCCAAAAAGTTGAGCACGTTTCTTCGGGACCTACTAGTCTTAGAGTTACCTCTATGCTACAATCATGTCGAAAATATGGTGTAATATTACTTGCTAAAAAGGACAAAATTATCATTAATACAATGCATGAACTGACATTACGCTGCTTTTACTGCATTTGTTTATTTATGTGGTCATAAAAATTACATGAAATTTTCGACATGATTGTAGCAACAATCAATACGAAACTAACGATTTTAAATTGGCTCACCACTTTAGTAGCCTATTGGTCCCAAGCAAATGATTAACGTACCCTATTCTAGTTGAAATTCTATTACTACACTATGTTTGTTTTGATTCGCTATGAAAGTTTGACAGATAACATCAGGGGTGTGTGGATTCATGCAGAACATGCAGGGGTGAGTGAAATAGCTTGGGACTGCTTGGGACCGTTGTTCTGGTACTGAGTGAGCCAAAAATAATAATGATTTTCTTCGGGACCCACTGGTCTTAGAGTTACCTCTATGATTGTAGTGCATCCACTTTGATGTGATATCAAAATTATTTTTTTGCTGTGTGGGCAACATCGCCCACGTGCATCCACGGGATAAATGAGAATCTCTTTCCAACAACAGAATTACATATACAACCGGTCAAAAAACAAGCCAACAGGGCGATGTCCCAATAAGTAGGAAGAAGAACCCGCCCTCTTTTCACGAAATGTTAAAGAGAGGGAGTTGGCATATCCACTCTCCCCATCAATTTCGCTTCAATCCGGTGCCCTGGTTGACCGTCCCGTACCGAGAATTTAATGTTTCATATAATAATGGAATGAAAGTTAAAAGAAAAATAAAGGAAAGATCTCACCCGATGTTGCAAAGGTATCCATAACATCACGATGATTTCGAAGATCTCCCATAGATAAGAGCTGCCGCTACTTCTTCAACCGGTGTTAAAAACAGCACTCTCGCCTTTCGTTCCTCCCACAGAAGCGTAAATCCCCATCAACCCCGAAATACACTCTAGCTGCTCGAAGTAGAGGGACCTCAGCAGAGAACAAAGGACTACGTCCAGTTTCCATCACCAATCACTCGCGACACAATGGCTTCAGCAGCGCCATTTCCTCACCGGCCGAATCAACCCAACCCAACTGGGAGACGGAACGCCAGCACGGCACGAGCTGCTAACGTTGAAAGCCAAACACGTACCTTGGCTAGATTGGGATTTGAACCTAAACGATTCTGAATCCATTCCGGATCGTATCCCCTCTAACGACACCAAACGTAGAACCATAGAGGTAACTCTAAGACTAGAAGGTCCCGAAATAACGTGCTCAAATTTTTGGCTCAGCTCTGGTACTCTCTTCGGTTCCAAGCTAATCGATTCACCCCTCGAAACATAGGAAAAACCAATAACCCCTCAATTCATCTGTCAAACTTTCATAGCGAATCAAAACAAACATTGCGCAGTACTAGAATTTCGACTAAGGGTACGTTAATCGTTTGCTTGGGACCAATAGGCTAGTCAAGTAGTGAGCTAATTTTAAATCGTTAGTTTCGTATTGATTGTTGGTAGAACCGTGGAGGCACCACATTTGATCCAGGATTAGGACGCAACAGACCACCCTTAATCTGAAATTAAGAGGGTTTTTAATGTAACGAATGCAGTAAGGGCAAGATTTTAAATATTTTGCCAGCAGTCGCTTTAATAAAATTTGAATGGTTATTTTGCTTAACGACGTGTTCAGGGTATCATCCCAACCATTTATGGAATAGTTCTATCATTTTGGTTATCGTTCGGGTATGGCATTTTTTTTAGGGCGCCTTAGTATTGAAAGACCACATAAAGTTGATTGACAATACAAAACCATCCATCGGCCTTACTGACTACATTAACCATTGACATTAAAGTTCTCAAATCATAAATAAAAAGGTTTTAATATAATTCCTTTTTCGAATGGAGAAAACATCAATTAGGAATGGTAATGGTTCTTAACAACCCATTATTTGTAAGGTTCACTTCCTAAAAAACATAATACATAAGATTGAAACTTTATCACACAAACGTTCATGTAAAGTTCAAAAACGATTTCAGTTAAGTTTAGCAGGGATTATAAACAATTTTTAATCTTTTTTGGTAAGGTCTAGCAATGGTTGGCATTTATACGGGGTGCTGAGCCAAAAAGTGGAGCACGTTTGTTCGGAACCTTCTGGTCTTAGAACCTCCACCGACAAACCGACATGAATGACCATAGCAAAAACAATAAATTTTCTGACCAAAGCACACTACTGACATCTGGCTCCGTGTTCGTGGGAAATATTTAGCTAAGCCATGAACCCGTTAATTGGTTGTTGAATTGGTTCGTGTCTGATCTAATCTGGACAAATTATTTTGATCTATATCAAAAAATCCTATGGTTTTGACAGATCGGATCACTGCACATTTAAATCGGCCGTTTACGATTTTCGGGCATAAGTCAGAATTAAGTGTCATGTCAGTTTGTCGGTGATACCTCTATGGTAATACGACATGCACTAAACGAAGGACACGGGATTTACTACATTAGATCAAATTACTGGTCGTTAGGTCCCGAATAAAGAAAAAAAAATTAAAACTACTTTGACCGGCTTTACGAGAAAAAATGCCTTACTTTTGGGCATTTTTTTTCTTACCGCGTAGATGTATGACCCCTGATTTCCACTCTGCGTGTTTCTTGTACATCAGGTGGAGATGGCTTTAATTCTGAAAGTTCCATGCTGAAATATTTCATCTTGAGCGTCTTGATGTGCAAAAAACAAAACACATATTTGCAAAGGGCCAATTCGCCACGTGCAAACAATGCCTTTTAATGACGATTTCTCACGAATTACAAGACTCGTGCACGCAACCCAACTGCACCATATCATAGAACAAAGTTTTTTCCTCCAGATGTTTCTGTTTCTTTTTAATATAATTTTTATGTTATAATTCGTGAGAAAATGACGTTTCAAGTAATTGTTTTCACGCGACTCATTGGCCCTTTGCAGATGTATGTGGAGAAATCTTGGATGAAAAAATGAAACGTCAAATCTTCAAAACAAAAACGAGGTGCTTCTTACACAATTTTTAATTTTCTAGAATTGTGCAAAAATATTGAATCAAAATCTAAAATTCTATCAACAAAATGTCCTCGATACGGCTGTTCAACGCATCCCCAAACTATCGATACGCCTATACGATACTGAGTTGCTTGCGACCGTCCATCAATCGATTCTACTCGTCATCCCAGGCGAAGGATGCCGGAGAGGACAGTGATCTGCCGGTAACATTCGTCGAGGATGATGACCAGCTAGCCGAACGGGAAGCTCGCATCGAGCAGCTACGGAACAAATCTCGTCTGCTACCGCAGCATCGCAACATGCTACACAACCAGCGGCCGTACGGGGAGTCCCAATCGTGGATTCACGAAACTGTCAAGTACAAGCGCATGATGCTGGGCCGATACGGGCTGGAAGAAAGCCAAGTTGATCCACGTAAGTTCCTGCTTACTGTTTTAAAAAAAATGCCTATTATAGAAGTTGTAATTCCAGGAATCTGCTACCCAACCAAGGCCGAAGCACTGGAAAAAGCCGAGTACGAACGCGTTGCTTTCCCAAAAACCCTCCAAGAGATGATGGAAGAGAATAGGAAGGCCCAACAGGAGAAGGCTGCTCGCATCAGGACACGTGAGGAGGATGTTGCCAAGAAGATGGAAAAACTGGACCATTGGGTAGCGGATTTGAATACTAGGATTGCGAAGAAGGAAGCGGAGGCTCGCGCTGCCAAGGAACGCAAAGATCGTTTGGTGGAGGAAGTTCGAAGGCACTTCGGGTTCCGAATTGACCCTAGAGACGAACGCTTCCAGGAGATGTTGGCCCAGAAAGAGAAGGAAGATCGCAAAAAGGTCAAGGAAGCCAAGAGGAAGGAGAAGGAGATCAAGATGATGGAGAAACTGAAGAAGCGGACGGCCGAATTGGAGAACGATGGCTCTAAGGATGGGGCAAAGGCGAAAACCGAGGATGTCGATAGGAAGTAAGAAGATTGTCGTGTCGGTATTTCTGTAGAGAACTAGAAGATTTTATTTGATGGGAAAGAGAACTCCTACGAATAAATTAAGAAATAATGAAAAACTATTCCTATTTTTTGGTTTTAACGCTGTCCGCCAGCTGCTTCCGGGTTGGTAGCACCCGATATGAGAATAAGAATCGCTACCGGAACGATGTACATCCACTAAAATTGAACAATTTGCTTGAGATAATTAAGTGAATAAATTAAACAGCAATCATCTTACATATTTGGCAAAGAAGCCACGGGTATCCTTGGTTTCACCCCGCTCTCGTGCTTCCCGTTCACGTTCCAACTTCTGGATGAAACTGGCTGTATCCGGAATCGGTGCATTTTCCATCGGTTTCACATACACGTCGGTGTTGAATTCATCCAACACCTCAAAGTCTCGAGTGGTCAAGTCCCGGCAGTTATCCGTATTGCCATTGTTGACCGACTGAGTAATGGCCGTGACGGATCCGGCATGATCCAACGAAACCCAAAGAACGTCCGCCAGTTGAGATTTTGCCAATGCGCACTGTAAGAAGGAATATCTTAGCTTTCGGGTTTGTCCGGAAAATATATTGAAGCATTACCGCTTTGGATGACGTCAGGAACTTGGACCGGGATCCATCGGCTTCCAGAACGTGAGCTTCCAACCGGTAGAGTCGGTTTTCTTCGGCCAACTTCCGGAACTGGTTCCGCTCATGAACCGTTAGCGGTTCCTGCGACAGGGACACTGCCCCGCTATTCAGACTGGTGATGGTGACATTGCCTCGGGTAATGAACTTGTGCGGTTCGTGAATGTCCAGCGCGTGGTACAGCTCGATGTTCAGCCAGCCGTCATACTCGAGGTGGGTCTGGGTGGAGGATTAAGGTTTAGTTTAGCATTGAAGCAATACACTGGTCTAACCGATTTACCGCATTTAGTACAAAAACAAGATTGCACAGTACTGTAAAGAGTATTTTTCTAATCATTGTGTGTAATAATTGCAAAAGAAAACACTGAAAATCTCTGAAGGAACTTTTTCTCCTCTTTCTAGAACACTTTTTCCAAGATAAAAATATCGATCAGCCGAATTTTATGTCTTATGTTGACGTTTCTCGGATGATATTCGTGATATTATGGCTTATAGTTTTATACCGTTTATTTGTCACTTGAAATATTTCATGGACACTGCACTAAAAATAAGAAGCAAAACTTTCAAATTTTCTTAGTGTTTTATCAGCAAAAAATACGATACGAGATTACGATCTGAGAGAGATCGGGATTAGAGTCGGTGTATAATGAGTCACGCCAAGAGAAAAACAGTTGAACTCGCATCACGGTTTTCGAAATATTCCCTTTCTTTTCACTTGGCAACAGAGGACTTCTACATCAACTTCAAATGACTTCTAGCGAGAAAAAAAAATAGCGGCTGTAGTAAATCATTATATCAGTGATTTAGTCAAATTATCTCAACCAAAAATAGTAGAAATTCTCATAAGTGATCATTACCAAACGTATCCCATGACAATTTATTGCTCACTGCGAGTTTATGATCATTTCTTCGATTATAGTTTATATTTTATTGCAATACCTTTCGTGGACCTTTCATAGCATCGTAATGTTTGTTTACTCTGCACGATAGGTAGCCGGTTTGACAGCTCAATAGGTAGACTTGGCTTCACTCTTGGCGTGACTCATTATACACCGACTCTAATCGGGATATCATAGCAACTTTCTGTGGTATGGTCGTACCTTTTATGATATCGTTAGTGTATGGTACCCGTTTATTAGGGGAGTCGATCGCTTTAATGGCGGTGAGCTCCAACTCGGATTAACGTTTAATACCGTCCCTGTTTGGATGATCTGCAAATTGTTTGCATAGCATCGTGTTGAATAACTCTGATGTCGACATCAAAGCAGCCGGACATTCTTGATCGGGATTTAATCCGAGGATAATACCGATTGGAGCTTACAGCCATAAAGGTTCATTCTCTCAGCCCCGCTCACAAATCGGTGCCTTTTTTCCAGAGCACAAATGAAAACTCGTTCGTGACTTTCTCATTTTTTGTTTTCAATTGCGCTTTTTAATTTCATTAAAAATTCAATTCAATTTCATTGATCTTGTTTTTAGTCGATCTTGTTTTCCGTACTGAGCACGCAGAAAAAACTATCGTCGAAACAAAAATATTTGAGGTAAATTTAAACGTAAACTCAGTTTGTTCTAGCCACAAACATAAATTAGGTTGATTTCAAAACGTATTCCACGTTAGAAGTCATATGAAATCAATGTTTAAAATAAAAATAATGTTACGTTTATTTCAAAACTATTCGTGTTGAAAACAAACGTATTTGTTTTTGTTTGGTATGACAGCTATGCGAACAAAAATAAATATGTTAATTTTAAACATGCTTCTCATGTTTAATATAAACATTCATATTTTGAAATTATTTTAATAGTTGATTACAGGGTAAAGCAAGATAAAACGGATTGCAAAGAAATGAAAAACAAAAGATCTTCGGGCAGGGCATCTAAATTCCTGCTCTGTCACCCTGCTATTAAGGGAGACCTGTGGGTACTGGGGTCCTGGGCCGGGATGCGGGGATCCGTCGGAGTGGGTGTCCGGGGGTTCCAGTTCAGTGGAACAGGTGAAAAATTATGATATTAGCGTCGTTTTGTCGTTTCAGTCACTGGTCCTCATACCGGTTTCTTCCTACGTCGGAGGAGGATTCGAAATGGATTCAAAATCCATTTCGGATTTTTGTTGTCCTTTCGAAGTCACGTGTGAAGGAGGATGATATAGGGATCGGCATCAGAACCTGAAGTTGATACTGTGAGGTTGTTGAAATAAACATGCTTTTGAATTTAATTCAAACATACATATTTTAGTTTTAAACATGCTTTCAATTTACACGGATCCGAATTTTGTTCATTTAAAACAAAAATATAAATGTTTATACTCTAAACATATGAATTATTCAAAGTAAATTGAAAGCATGTTTAAAACTAAAATATTTATGTTTGAATTAAATTCAAAAGCATGTTTATTTCAACAATATAGGATTTGGGTAAACGGGTTTTAGCGTGTCATGCCTTTTTATTTCCTTCTTGTTACATTCGGAAAAAGTTGTCCCAGCTTTGCTCAACCTCAACAGAAAACGGCCATTCATTCAGGATCCTCCTCCGATACCGAACATGAAAAGAAACCGGTATGAGGACCAGTGCCAGAAACCGAAGCAGAAACGGCAAAACGACGATAATAACACAAATTTGCACCGGTTCCACTGAACTGGAACCCCCGGACACCCACCCCGACGGGTCCTCACATCCCGGACCAGGACCCCAAAACCCACAGATCACCTCGCAGATCAACCTTAATCGCACCCGAAAAAGAGCAGGAATCAAGATGCCCTGCCCGAAGATCTTTTTTTTTTTTCATTTCTTTGCAAACCGTTTTATTTTGCTTTACACTGCACTCAACTAATAAAATAATTCCAAAATATGTATGTTTATTTTAAACATGAGAAGCATGTTTAAAATAAACATACATAAATACGTTTATTTTCAACACGAATATTTTTGAAATAAACGTAACATTATTTTTATTTTAAACATTGATTTCACATGACTTCAAACATGGAATACGTTTGAAATCAACCTAATTTACCGTTCCGATTCAAATTTCGGACACTTTTATTTTTAATTAAATATTACATCCAGTTAGAAACAAAGTAATAATGTTAGATGATCGTGGAGGGCACTAGTCAAAAAAATTTAAAATTTACAAGACATGTGGATCATATTCGACCGAGATAATCAACTTTTAAAAGTGTCCGAAATTCGAGTTTAAGTGTCCGAAATTTGAATCGGCACGGTATGTTTGTGGCCAGAACAAACTGAGCTTACGTTTAAATTTACCTCAAATAATTTTGTTACGACGATAGTTTTTCTGCGTGTAGTAGGTCCCGAAGAAACGATTTCTACTTTTTGGCTCAGCTCTGGTACTATTTTCGGTCCCAAGCTAATCGATTCACCCCTCGAAACATAGGAAATTCCACGAACCACTCATTTTATCTGCCAAACTTTCATAGCGAATCAAAACAAACATTGGGTAGTACTAGAGTTTTGACTAGCATGGGGTACGTTAATCGATTTGCTTGGGATCAATAGGCTAGTCAAGTAGTGAGCCAATTTCAAATCGATAGTTTCGTATTGATTGTTTACTGTCTCGTAGACAGCCTTATTAACGGAAAAAAGCTTGCTTGCCAAGTCTCAAACAATGTTGCATACAAGTTCGATAGAAAGGAAAATCCTTAAAATTAATCAGCCTCTACTGTAATTTAAAAAACCGTCAGGTTGATGCACCCATTTCATCGTTTTACTGTCAAACTGATGTTTACCCAAATTCCTTTCATTCGTGGCTGTCGATGCATTTTTGTTTTAGTTCTGTGGGATGCATTTAATATAAATCGTCGTATTTTTTTTATAAAGAAATGCACCAATTTGTCGTATCGAATCAGTGGTTAATGTGTATGTGTGCTGCACTTCTTCTGTCAACGGCGCCGTGATGCATCTATCAAAAACCATGACATCATCTTGAGACGTCGGTCGGTCGATCGGTAGTGAATCGAATCGTAAATCGTAAAGAGGCTAGACACAGCAGGAGGACAAGCAAACAAAAGTGTGTCGTCGCTCCCCGGTCGAAGAGAATAATTTTTGTCATCGTCAGTGATTTGTGCAGTTGGGTACAGTTTTGATCGTGTGATAGAGGGAAGGGGAACAAAGAACATCCTTCGGCAGGGCACTTGCCGTGTAGGGAATGTGAAGGAAAATAAAGGTGATTCCTGGAGTTCCACTATAATGGCGACATCTAGCAGCAGTGCAAACAGCAACGCAACTATCACCAACTATCACGACATTTACGTTCAACAGGTAAGGCGATAACAGTATTTTCATTAAATTTCTAAAGATTGTGCTTGTGTGCGACGGAATAAGAGTAGGTATCTAGTTTACTTTACTACGATAAGGTCAGGGAGGGATCAATTGAGATCGATCGTTTGGAATTGGGTCGGATTGATTGAAGGGGTGTTCTCCGGAACGGTATTTGACCTTGAATGTTAGGGTTGTTGTTCTTCTGAGAGTCAGGAGTTTTTTTTTTTTTTTTTTTTTTAACTCTTTATTTGTTCCAAATTCAAAATAAATTACATTTCATTTTAACCTAGGTGCTCCAGTTACTGCAGTAACGTACCAGCCTTAATTGTTATGATATATATCTAAGTGTTTTTACATTGTTCATGTCTTGGCAATTCAGTATTTTAAACAGGTTTTTTAACCTGCATGTCAGTATAACAATTGATATCTTAAAACTAAAAACTAAAACTAAATCTTATCTAAGTATAAAGGGAATTAATCGTTGCAATTGAGGATTGCAACGATTTTTGCCTGAAATTATTAATTATTTTGTTGGACATTTGTGCTAAAGTCTCAGCATTCGAAATTCTATGTACTTCGGTTGTACTGTACCAGGGAGGCAACTTCAAAATCATTTTCAGAATTTTGTTCTGAATCCTTTGAAGTGCTTTTTTCCTGGTAGTGCAGCAACTAGACCATATTGGCACAGCGTAAAGCATGGCCGGTCTAAAAACTTGTTTAAATATTAGAAGTTTATTCGTCAGGCAAAGTTTGGATTTCCTGTTTATAAGAGGATACAAACATTTTATATATTTGTTACATTTGGCTTGAATGCCCTCAATGTGATCTTTAAAAGTTAATTTTTGGTCAAGTCGATCGTTTGGAATTGGGTCGGATTGATTGAAGGGGTGTTCTCCGGAACGGTATTTGACCTTGAATGTTAGGGTTGTTGTTCTTCTGAGAGTCAGGAGTTTGATTGTCTCATTTGCATTGCATAAGTGTGAACTACAGCTTGATTCCTTTCTCTTGCAGACCAATATCAACAATCGCAACAACGACAGTGAATTAGATAGGATAGAACAAATGAGTACAAATCCGACCCCTCCGCCTTCATACAATCAGCTTCCTTCGACAGTGACAGCAGGGATCAGCATCAACAACAACAACAACAATAGTAGATTAGTAATGGTCAGCAACGAACGCTACCAGCTGCCGGGAACCAGCAGCAGTAGAGTCGGCTCCACAGGGAACGTAATTATCGTCCACGGTAGTGGCAGCAGTGGTGCGGTCAGTGCCGGTGGCCGTCGAGGCGATCCCCCTAGCTATGAAGATGCAATAAACCGAGAGGAACCGCCGCCGTCCTACGATTCGTTGTTCGGGCGAGTCCGAGAAGCGCACAAATCGTCCACCGGGATGATGGACTTCCTGAAGAACGTTGTGATATTGCTGCTGGGAACGCGTAAGTTGTTAGGGAAATAATGATCATTTTTAGTGAGTTCTACAGTCATCCCAGTATTATGGGTCACCCACAATTATGGGTCACTTCATTTTATTATAATTTAGGTGCTCCAGCTACTACAGTAACTTACTAGCCTTAATTGTTATGATATATATCTAAGTGTGTTTTACCTTGCCAGTATTTTAAACAGGTTTTCTAAACCTGCATGTCAGTATAACAATAGACATCTTAAAATACTAAACAAAAACTAAATTTTATCTAAGCATAAAGGGAATTAATCGTTGCAATTGAGGATTGCAACTGTTTTTGTCTGAAATTATTAATTATTTTGTTGGACATTTGTTCAAAAGTCTCAACATTTGAAATTCTATGTACCTCGCTAGTACTGTACCAGGGAGGTAACTTCAAAATCATCTTCAGAACTTTGTTCTGAATCCTTTGAGGTGCTTTTTTCCTGGTAATGCAACAACTAGACCATATTGGCACAGAGTAAGCATGGCCGGTCTGAAAACTTGTTTAAATATTAGAAGTTTATTCGCCAGGCATAGTTTGGATTTCCTGTTTATAAGAAGATACACACATTTTATATATTTGTTACGTTTGGCTTGAATGCCCTCAAAGTTAATTCTTGGTCAAGTACTAATCCAAGATATTTCACTTGGTTTAATTGTTTATTTGGTTCGACATCAACAGACTGGGTTTAGTCCTAATGATGGATTAAGCAATACTAGGAAATACAATATAGTCAAGAAGTAACAAGCTGCAAAGGCCGTGAAGTCCAACTTAATTCTTAATTCTTAAAAATATATCACAGGATCTCTGCGTCTCGCGTGCCAAGTGAAAATCAAATAAGGAAGCCACACGATTGAAAACCATTTTTGTAGCCCATTGATAGCACCATATGAACTATAGTTTGTACGGCGAAAAGGTATCCTCAGCATTACCCTCCCAATGGACATGGAGGTTGACGGTACTGAAGCAATTTTTAATTTCTTTATATTTGCAACGATGATGATTTCCTATAGTGACACATATCACCTTCTTAATGATTCAGTATGCCTAAAACGATTAATTCTTGGTTGTTAATAGAACTTCCTTGATGAAATCGGCTGCATTATGCAGACTGAGCAATTCGGATTATAGTTTCAGATTTGTTCTGTATACAGAGGAACTGGGAGGGCTTATTAGAAACTTCTCACCAATAAAGTAATGATCTTCTAGTAAATTTTGCATATCATTTTATTAAAATTTTATTTTATTTTAGCATATTATTTTTGTTACAGTCAATTGGCATTAGCATACGATACAAAAGATTTAATATTACTTGCTCGTTTTTGTGTAAAATAATCAATAATACCTTTGAAAGTTTTTTCAAGTTTTTGTGATCTGATAGATTTCCCAGTTTGGTTAGAAGTTTCGAAGCTAACGCATGTCCACAAGCATTATAGAAAGATAGGCAGAAAAAGTGTATCACGAAGAATGGTTGCATGCACTTGCTATAGATGAGTGATTTTCGGAGTTGTGAATTCGTTAGATGTTGTAATTGGGATTTGTATTTGTTGGATACGGGAGGAGATTGGAGGGCGGGTGTTTGACGCATGGAGCCTGTCAATTTCGATTTCAGAGTGTCGCAGTCAGCGGTTTTATGATTTGTGAGCGCTCGCGATTCGTATAATCGTTGATTGTAACTGCAAGTGGATTTGGCAGGTTTTGTGTGAGGGACGCTTGCTTTTTGGCCTCTTCTTGTGTCTAATATGTGCAGAGTATCATTATAGCGTCTAATGGTTTTGAGATTCCTGGTTGCGTGAGATATATTTGTGAGAATATCTTTTTGAGATTTTAGTATTCACGTTTTGTTTGTTGTTTATATTTTATTTATTTCATGTAATTATCGTAAATAATAGTTATTCAATTATATTCAATTATTTAAAAATAAATTTACGAATGACTATAATTTGGAAACCTAACAATTGGGCAGAATCACTAGCAAGAATAGGTTGCGGAGTGTTCGCCTTCGAAAATATCGAAAGACATTAAATTGGAGGCGGATTCTGGTACGAAATTACAGGCTGCTATTTTGAGCAACTTATCGTCATAAAATTAAAAATAACATTTAGGTATTGGTCAAATAATGTGGATAGTAAGCTAGATATGTTATGGTATAAACTTTTGCAACGTTTTTTGTTTGTTTTTTTTTTTTTATATTTTTTTAGTTGATTATTCTTGAACGCAGTTAAAACTAGGAGATTAGGAAGAAATATAATCATTTGGTGCAAACACACAAACACACACACATACACACACACCCTGATACACAAACACATCATGACATTAGAAAAGAAAACATTCAGACATTAAAACTGACGTAAGAATGAGAAGAAGACATAGAGAAAGACAGACCAGCGATTACCGAACTATAAAGATTTTCAAGAAGGTTATGATTAATCAATATCGTGAATCCGGTGTTTAATTGGTCACCATAGACTAATCCGTCCGGCATCGTAGTCACTTGAAAAATTTTCTCATCAACCCCGATCATTGGTATCCTCAGCATTGCATTGTTACGGAGTGCTCGAGTGCATACAGGGCAGCAGTATTCTAAATCCGACCGGACGAGGGAGCAGTGAAGCGACTTCAAACAGTAGATGCCGTGAAACTTTTAGCTATCCTGAAAATGAAGCCGAGCGTTCTGGATGCCTTGTCGATCACGTACGAGATATGCTTGGCTGTATGTGAGTTGACAATCTAAGATCCCAGATCCTTAATGTGATTCACACGATGTACGTCAACGCCTTCTAGGATATAACTAAATGTAATTGGATGTTTCTTCCGTGAGAACGCGATTACTCGACATTTTGTTTGATTTACAACCATGCGGTTCAGTTGGCACCAATTAGCAAAAGCGTTGAGTTGGAGTTGGAGAAGGTGGCAGTCAGCGATGGCTCGAATTCGGCGATAGGTGTTCATGTCGTCTTCGAACGATAGTCGTGGACCGTCGAGGACGAAATTGACGTCGTTGAAATACACAAGAAATATCAACGGGCCGAGGTGGCTACCTTGCGGATGGTTCAACTTGTCGAAGGCGGCTGATAGGTTAGTGTAGATGACATCTGTTTGCATATGGTCTGTCATACTCTCCATAATGTACGAAGTGGGACATAGAAGGTTGGAAGTAGTCGACCGCCCTGCCATGAAACCATGCTGATCTTCGCTCAAATGCTGCTTGAAGTGAGAGACTAATGGTTCCATAAAGACCCACTCGAAAAGTTTAGATATGGCACACAACGATGTGATGCCGCGATAGTTGTCGATGTTTCTTTTTCATCCACCCGACTGGAGAGGGACATTTCGAACAGAAGGCAGAGAGGAGCCACCAGGCTATCGATGTTGCTTGAGAAAGACGGAAAGCTCCGTCAGGTCCAGGCTTAAATGAAGACTTCAGTTGCGAAGCCGCCCTAGTTATCATAGCGAGGTCGATGTTGAAAGCTGCCCAAGATTAACCAGACATTGGAACATTACTGGCATTACGTGCTCGTCAGGTAGGTTATCATCCGAGAATATACTCGCAAACTTGGTTGAGAACAGACGGCAAATGTCCTGAGGGGATGAAACTTCTTCGCCGTTCAGTACCATAGTCGATGGAAGGCCAGACTCCTTTCGTTGCTCATTCACATTGGTTTGACCAGGAAATTGGATCACTGTTCATAATGACTATGTGACTACTACTAGGTTTCAAAAAGGAACCTCTAACCTTATGTGGAAATATTATAAGTTGAGTTTTGGAAGCGTTGGCAGAAATCTTCCATTTTTGGAAATAAGAAGAGAACATATCTAAACTTTTCTGCAGTCTGCTGCAAATAACACGAAGACTTCTTCCTTTAGCGGAAATGCCTGTGTCATCAGCGAACAAAGATTTGTGGCAACCCTGAGGCAAATCAGGGAGGTCCGAAGTGAAAATGTTATACAATATAGGCCCAAGAATGCTACCCTGAGGAACTCCTGCTCTAACAGGTAGTCGATTAGATTTGGAATTTTGATAATTTACCTGCAGAGTTCTATCAGTTAAATAATGTTAAACTAAATTCATAATGTAGAGACGAAAATTTAACTTTTTCATTTTAGCAATCAAACCTTCAAGCCAAACACTGTCGAATGCTCTTTATATGTCAAGCAGAGCAACTCCAGTTGAGCAGCCTTCAGATTTGTTTGAACGAATTAAATTGGTAACTCTTAAGAGATGATGGGCATTCAACTAGCCCATGGCGAAATCCAAACTGCTCATCTGCAAAAATTGAGTTCGTATTGATATTCCATAAATGTCCACTTCACTCGGAAATGGAGCATAAGGCTAGCTTTTTCTAAGGCCCTAAGGTTGTTAAGTTCACTAGTAGACTTGAAGTGAGCTAAATAAAAATCATTGGGAATCCCGTTGCGCGAATCGGCAGGACGGGATTTCATTTTAATTTTGATTACTTGGACAGGCACAACTCCAAGTAATTTTGTCAGTTCATCTTTGATCTGATCCAGGGATTCACCACTGGGCAGTCCTTTCATGACAACCTTGAACACACGTTCAGTTTTGGTGTCGTAAGTAAAAAATTTATGCTGCTTCTCAATAGCATACTTGAGAAGACGTTTGAATCCGTCCAAGGTTTCAGCCATTACACGGCATTTACCCCGACGGCCAATTCCGTTCAAAGTGCCGTGCAAAGAGCATGGAAATCGGAAGTGGTTATCAAAATTGGGGGAATCTTTTCCTTCTTGGCATTAAGCCGCGAAAGTTTATTCGATTTTTTTCTGGATGATGGATCATTCTCATCAGCCGTGAGCATATCAAATGGATTGCTCAAATTAATTTCATCAGAAGGGGGATCAAGAGATTGCCATTTTCTTTTGCGCTTAGGCGCCATGGCGGCAGTAAAACGTTTATCCAAATCGACTTCCAAGCAGATTACTATAAGAATCTAAAGGATCGAAGAGGAATTTTCCAAATCGATATCCAAGCAGGATTACCTCGGGTAGGGTCCAAACAAGGATCGAAGAGGAATAAGAGTCGAAAAAGGTAGAAAATTCAGGTATACTGAGCACTGAAAAGTACTGTTTAAATTTGTTGTAGCTTTAGGTAGCAGTAACACTTCCTTCAGCAAAAAGCAAATAGATCCGCACGGCAAGAAAGCTCGATGCGGACTGTGATGGTGGATTAGTTCTTCAACTCCAGCCCCCGATCATGTTGGCAGATCAGCTTAGTTTCACGTACCCATTTACAAATTGTAGATGTCTCCACTGTTCGTAAATAATAGAGTCATCCGTTGATGGTGCAACTATATTTTGGTATCACAAAACATGTTTTCGTTTCTTTTCATGTGGACGCCAAAACGAGCCAAGCGCAAATGAGGCGTATTGGCGAAGTGCGTAATACCAGAAAAGAGATAATTATAATAAGACCAGTCGAAAAATTACACCATTATTCATTCGATTTGACAGAGTTGGAATATATTGCTTATTTTAGAATACCGAATTACATACATACCATAGAGGTAACTGTAAGACTAGAAGGTCCCAAAATAACGTGCGCAACTTTTTGGCTCAGCTCTGGTACTCTCTTCGGTCCCAAGCTAATCGATGCGCCCCTCGAAACATAGGAAAAACCAATAACCCCTCATTTTATCTGTCAAACTTTCATTGCGTAGTACTAGAATTTCGACTAGAATGGGGTACGTTAATCGTTTGCTTGGGACCAATAGGCTAGTCACGTAGTGAGCCAAATTAAAATCGTTAGTTTCGTATAGATTGTTGTACATACTCTAATGTTCTGTAACTATCCGCTAAGCCCAATAGTTCCTCCAAAGCGCTCTAAGAGTCGGATTGGCTTCAGGATTTCGAGAAGAGAGTTTTACTTCGCGAGCTTGGTTTCGTTCGTTCAACCAGTAATTGTTAAAATCTGTTCTCCCTCTTATTTTCCAGTGGGCTGCACAATCATCCTGGGCATCACGATCGTCATCCCGGTATGTATGATCGTCTTCGGAGGGGTCTACCTGTACGACTGCCCACAGGGCGAGTACATCCCGGTCTATCTGCTGGTCGGTGGCGGTTTCGGCGTACTCAAACAGCTACTTCACCTTTCGACCCGAGTCCGTAGCCGCGAGGAGCAGGAACTGGAACGGCTCCGGCAATCGCCCACCCAGACCCTGATCAACTGCTTCATGCTGGGGTGGTTCATCATCGGCTCGTTCTGGATCTACCGGATCTACGAACCCAACTACGACCCGGCGATGGGCAAGTACTGCAACAAGTCGCTGTACTTGTTCACCTTCTGGTTGATCACCTCGGTCTACATGACGCTGGGCATTGTGACGGTGGTGCTGTGCGGTGTGAGCATCATTAGCATTGCCATCCACCGGAGGACATAACAGTTGAATGCACTGTTCGAGGTCTGAACTGCCCGGAGCAGGTAAGGCACGGCGCGGCCGGATCTTCACGAGCGAATCGATTTGGGCAGTTAAGTAAGGGGAGGGAGAAAGAGAGAATGATAACGTTGCGCTTATGCAGGGGAATTTGAGCTATTCCACCACTCAAAGATGGCGCTGTGCAGGCTTTACGATCGAGGTCAAGAATTGAAACAAACCAAATTTTTGAAAAAATCTGGCAAAACAGTATTTTTCGCTTTTTTTTTCGAAGGAATTGGATGCAGCTTTGATTGTGCCATACATGAATGCGCAGAAAGTTCTATTGACAGCTCTCTTAGACAGTAAGGATTATATATGTAGACTAAAAAAACGCGTCGCCACTGTGGACGTATTTACATTTTTTTTTAGATTTTCACTATAACGATCGACTCGAAAGACCAAGGAATACTGTAGTTTTTTGTATGCAGAATCGATCACGTAGAAATGTTACATATTAAGGATCTCCTCATGTGTATTCCCAACCGGTTTTTGTTGAAAGCGCGATAATCAACCTCAATCGAATCCATAATGATTAAGCAGATTTATTTTTAGTGAGATGTTAAGATATTATTACGTTATTTAGCACACGCGCAAATATTTAAGCAGATTGACTCGATGTTTGTACAAACGGCTCATCGATGCTGGGGAGTTGCTGCTTGCCTGGGAGTTGAGGTCGATCTGTCCTCTTCTCTTATTTTCAAAAAATCAAATCATTCATATTTCTGAGGACAGACTGAACCACTTTGCTCCACTAAGTTCTCTGATTTCCACCATCGTTAGCCGACTCCATTACTGTACAATTTAGGAATTACATAGGAATGTATCGATATTTACACTATAGTAATAAGAGGGCGTTGAGACCAAACCAAAAGCCGAAGTAGATTGCAAGACAGCATTATTCTCTCGCTAGAATAAAACGAGCGCTGGTATCGCCATAATGTTAACACAGCAGCTGATGAAGCATTTTGGATGTTAGTCATTTTAGGTTTTAACTCCCGCATTAGTCGCATCTCAGTCTTACAAAATGATTATTTTTTTTTGTTTTTGAAAACCGTGTACACAACAGGAAACAACAATGATGCTAGTGAAGAGTATTGGTGGCAATTTGACTCTATACACAACTTATTACTATAAATAGTCTACTGTAAATCGAGAGAACTGTTTACATTGGCTTGGTGCCTGACGCCGCTGAACGGATAAACCTTAATATGAAACCTTTAAAATCCTAACATTAGGCGAGTGATACCGAGGTCGTATGTCATGTCAGAAAGCTATAAACAATACGATACAACAAATTAGGCTTTTCACTACCATTGACTAAGTTACTATTACTATTGATATGACTAACCGTTAGTGGATGCGAAACGAACAGCAATTGTTGGTCGTGATAAGGAAAGAAGAAGAAGAAGAAAAATCCTTTCACTTCGTATATATTTGTATGTTCCCTCCTACTACATTTTTCCCTATACCAGTTACAAATGAAAATATACTATGAAATTTAAAACATAATCTGTAATAACATGCAAATCATGATTGTCTCTCGTTAGTGCGTTTATCACTGAGCAATCCATGGATTTATTGAAAGCGACTCATTTGTTCAGTATCTTTTCATCCAACACGTCCACACTTCCGTCCGCAATAGTTCGAATGATTATTGTATTGCTCGAGCCCTTAAAGAATATGCTTCGAATTTCGGATGATTGCCTTATGGTTGAATTCGTCATCAGCTGATGACTATAATACCATAGAGGTAACTATAAACGTGCTCAACTTTTTGGCTCAGCTCTTGTACTCTCTTCGGTCCCAAGCTAATCGATGCACCCCTCGAAACATAGCGAATCAAAACAAACATAGTGTAGAACTAGAACTTCGACTGGAATGGGGTACGTTAATCGATTTGCTTGGGACCAATAGGCTAGTCAAGTAATGAGCCAATTTGAAATCGTTAGTTTCCACCCGTTGCTACTACTGTGTGTAAGACGGTTAAAAGTTGTCACATCTAAGCCAAATACTCTTGCACTTGACTCAGTCTGTCATGCGGCACTACGAATCGAAGTGATTGATCATTGATTTTCAAGTGAGTTGCGTTTCGAAACGCAAATGGTGAGTTGACAACCTGGAAGGAGCGGAATACCTAGCCCTGGTCCTCACAAGTTCCTACTTCACGCCTCCTCGAGTCATATGATAACAAAAGACTACCAGCTGAAACATGGACACAGCTGGGTGGCGTAGCCTGGGCAATGTTGCCAGTCCGGCAATAGCAAAGTGAAGAGGTGCGACGCGAACACTGGCGCGGTAACCATAGTACGGTGATAGAGGAAATGCTTCACCAAACCTGAGCGTCTGTTCACCATGGAGGTGCGGCTCAAAACGGCGTCTGTTCTCCATGTTAGGAGCGGCTGATCACCGTCCTAGTGCCAGCTTGGGACTCTAAACAGAGCTGTGCACGATGGTCCCCCGGCGAGACAGGGGGTTGGGGCAGGCCCAACAAGCCGCCCTGGAAAAAAACAAAGTTGCAAATACCGAAGAAATAAATACGGATCGGAACAATCGGCACAGACCTAAGCGACGAAATAAGGACTACGATTGGAAACTCGGAACATGGAACTGCAAATCGCTCGGCTTCCCGGGTTGCGATAGGTTAATCTATGACGAACTTCAACCACGCAACTTCGAAGTCGTAGCACTGCAGGAACTTTGCTGGACGGGACAAAAGGTATGGAAAAGCGGGCATCGAGCGGCTACTTTCTACCAGAGCTGTGGCACCACCAACGAGCTGGGAACCGGCTTTGTAGTGCTGGGTAAGATGCGCCAACGCGTGATTGGTTGGCAGCCGATCAACGCGAGGATGTGCAAGTTGAGGATTAAGGGCCGTTTCTTCAACTACAGCACTGCCCACACGAAGAGAGACCCGACGACGAGAAAGAAACGTTCTATGCGCAGCTGAAGCAGGTGTACGACGGCTGTTCGCAACGGGACGTCAAAATCGTCATCGGCGACATGAACGCTCAGGTAGGACAGGAGGCAATGTATAGACCGGCAATCGGGCCAAACAGCCTGTATGCCGTATCGAACGACAACGGCCAACGATGCGTGAGCTTTGCAGCCTCCCGGGGTATGGTAGTTCGAAGTACCTTTTTCCCCCACAAGGATATCCACAAAGCCACCTGGAGATCACCTGACCAACACACAGAAAACCAAATCGATCACGTTCTAATCGACGGGAAATTCTTCTCCGACATTATCAACGTCCGCACGTACCGCAGTGCGAACATAGATTCGGACCACTACCTAGTTGCAGTATGCATGCGCTCAAAACTCTCGACGGTGCATAACACACGTCGAAGTCGAACGCCGCGACCCAACATTGAGCAACTACGCGCAGCAGCTGGAAGTTGCACTACCCACGGAAGAGCAGCTTGGCGCAGCTTCTCTTGAAGATGGCTGGAGGGACATCCGTTCAGCCATAGGTAGTACTGCTGCAGCGGCACTAGGTACTGCATTCCCGGACCGAAGAAATGACTGGTTTGACGGCGAATGCAAACTGTTAGTAGAGGAGAAGAATGCAGCACGGGCGAGAATGCTGCAACACCGCACGAGATTGAATGTGGAGCGATACAGACAAGCGCGGAACAGACAAAACTCGGCTTTCCGAAGGAAGAAGCGTCAGCAGGAAGACCGAGATCGCGAGGCGATGGAAAATCTGTACCGCGTAAACGACACACGGAAATTCTACGAGAAGCTAAATAGTTCGCGCAAAGGCTACGTGCCGCAAGCCGATATGTGCAAGGACTTGGACGGTAACCTTCTCACGAACGAGTGTGAGGTGATTGAGAGGTGGAAGCAGTACTATGACGAGCACCTCAACGGTGAAGCAGCAGAAAACGAAGGTGGCACGGCAACAGACCTTGGAGCACGCGCAGAAGACGACAGGCTACCGGCCCCTGATCTTCAAGAAGTTGAGGAGGAGATCGGTCGGCTGAAGAACAACAAAGCAATTGGTGTAGATCAACTACCAAGTGAGCTATTGAAATACGGTGGTGAAGCACTGGCTAGAGCGCTGCACTGGGTAATTGCCAAGATTTGGGAGGAGGAGATATTACCGGAGGAGTGGATGGAAGGTGTCGTATGCCCAATCTACAAAAAGGGCGACAAGTTGGATTGCTGCAACTACCGCGCGATCACACTGCTGAGCGCCGCCTACAAGGTACTTTCCCAAACTCTATGCCACCGCCTATCACCATTTGCAAGAGAGTTCGTGGGGCAATACCAGGCGGGATTCATGGGTGCCCGCGCTACCACGGACCAAATTTTCGCGATTCGGCAGGTTCTGCAGAAATGCCGCGAATACAACGTGCCCACACATCATTTGTTCATCGATTTCAAATCCGCATACGACACAATCGATCGAGATCAGCTATGGCAGATCATGCACGAGTACGGATTTCCGGATAAACTGACGCGATTGGTCAAGGCGACGATGGATCGAGTGATGTGCGTTGTTCGAGTATCGGGGACACTCTCGAGTCCCTTTGAATCTCGAAGGGGGTTACGGCAGGGTGATGGACTTTCGTGTCTGCTGTTCAACATCGCGTTAGAAGGTGTGATCAGAAGAGCTGGGATAGACACGAGTGGCACGATATTCAGGAAGTCCATCCAGCTCCTTGGTTTCGCCGATGACATTGACATTATGGCACGGAACTTTGAGATGATGGTGGAAACGTACATCAGACTGAAGGCTGAAGCTAGACGGATTGGACTTGCCATCAACGCATCAAAGACAAAATACATGAAAGCAAGAGGTTCTAGGGAAGACAATGTTAGCCTCCCACCCCGAGTTCAGATTGACGGTGACGAAATCGTGGTGGTCGATGAGTTCGTGTATTTGGGCTCACTGGTGACCGCCGAAAATGATACCAGCAGAGAAATTCAAAGACGCATTATGGCAGGGAATCGTGCCTACTTTGGACTCCAGAGGACGCTCCGGTCGAATAAAATTCGCCGCAGCACGAAGTTGACTGTCTACAAGACGCTGATTAGACCGAGACCTGGACTATGCTCGTGGAGGACCAACGCGCCCTTGGTGTTTTCGAACGGAAGGTGTTGCGTACCATCTACGGTGGAGTGCAGATGGATGACGGAACGTGGAGGAGGCGAATGAACCACGAATTGCACCAGCTGCTGGGAGAACCATCCATCGTCCACATTGCAAAAATTGGGCGACTACGGTGGGCTGGGCTCGTCGTAAGAATGCCGCACGACGACCCAGTGAAAATGGTTCTAGAAAGCGACCCAACAGGAACAAGAAGAAGAGGCGCGCAGCGGGCAAGATGAATCGACCAAGTAGAAGGTGACCTGCGGACCCTTCGCAGACTACGAGGCTGGCGAACTGTGGCCATGGATCGAGTAGAGTGGAGACGACTTCTTCGGACAGCAGAGGACAACAAGGCCTTAGCCTGATTGGTAAGGTAAGTGCGTTTCGAAACAAAGTGATTTGTCGTTGAAAAATATGTACTGTAGATCAAAATGATTGTCATTTGAATCGGCACCACCGTTTTCATCCATTAAATTTGATTAGTTTTACTTTTGGAAGCAAATGTCTAAAACGCACATGCCAAACAATATTCGCGAAGATGGCAAGTCAACAACAAATGAAGACAGAGCAAGAAAGCGATAATTCTCCATTTCGTTTTCGAGTTTTTTTTTATTTATTCAAAGGGGGGATGTTTCTCAGAGTCTTAAACTATGTTAATCATCGATCGAGTTTCCACTTGCTGCAATTACGGCCTCCACACGCTTCCGGAATGCACGGCAGGTTCTAATAATGTAGTCTGGATCCATTTATCTACAGGTACGGGTCAATGTTTGCCTGAGGCTTGCTGTACTCGGGTGGCGTTTAGAACAGGCCTTGGCCTTCATGACGCGCCATATTGAATAAACCAGCGGATTAAGATCGGGGCTGGATGGTGGCCTCGACGGTGGCCACATATCCTTCGCCCAGAACGGAAGATGTTCCTGCAACCACTTCTGAGTGCGGTTCGAGGTGTAGCACGGAGCCCCATCTTGTTGAAATACAACATTTGGCTTCGGACCGTACTGTTCTTTGATCCACGGAAGAACATACTTACTTAAAATCCCGATGTAGACCTCCGTGTTGACCTTGTCGCCTTCTGGAATGAACACCGGGTCCAGTTTTTGCCATCGGAAGCCACCAATCCAAACACCATAACGCTAGCGGGATGCTTGGTCAGATACACGTTCTTGTGCTCGTCGGTCACGTCTTTTACCGGAAGAGAACTAATATACCGGTCGGTTCTGGAATTTGATACGGGATCGACGGTAAACATGCTCTCATCGGTGAACAGGATTACCGGATTTTTTCCCTTAAGGAAGTTCAAGATTTTCTTGCATCGTTCGACTCGTAGCTCCCGGATGCGGTTGGTAATCATGTGAGTTTTTTTTTCCGTGCCCTCGACTTCGCCCCGCAATCTTCCTTTACGATCTTCCGTGCCGTAAAGTCACTGATCCCGTGTTCCTTTACCATTTTCCTTATTGAACGCACT